GATTTTTTTCTTCTTCAGTTTGTTTCAATGTCATTTTTACTTGATCTAATTCAGTAGTAAAATTTTCAGCACTCTCTTGAGCTTCTAAATACCAATTAGCTTTTATAACAGTTAATAAATTTTAATTGTAAGTAACATTTTTTACCTTTTAGAGCCAAAAACTGTTGTTCATATTTTTTTATTTTTTTCAATTTTACAACGCATGCATTTTTTATTAAATGCCTGGCAACTTCTTCATTACGCACTTTTTTTGGCATTGTCACTCTAAAATATTTGAGAATATTTTCAAAATCTAATTGTAGTAAGTCTTTTTTGCAAAACTGTAAATTATTAATATTTTTATCATATATTTGTGAGAATATATTTAAGTATTCTACTGTTCATCACATACCTGTAATAAGGCAATGGCAACTTGGAATAATGTATCCAGTCCTTGAAGAAGTACTACATCCATTATGCGAAATACAAAAAACAATGGGAATCTTGCTGTAAAAAGTGTAAGAAACCATTGAGAAGCATACATATGTGCTTCAATTCCATTAGCATTGAAGTGGTTATGAAGCTGAGGAATTTGTTCCTAGAAAGAAAAAAAATGTGTGAGATGAAAAATAAACTAAACTAATAAACAACTAACTTCCATGAGCTTATTCAGTTGATAAAGTTTTAAGTAAACTGTTTCAAAACCATCTTTGTAAAATTCTCGTAGGCCATAATCATACATTAATTTTAATAGGACACAGAATGCTTGTTCTTCAGGCATCTAAGTTAAATTAATAATTAAATATTAACCAATAAAAATAACTAACATTTGTAATATATAATAAAAATATATGAACATCTCTTACATGTAATAGTAAAGTAGCAGCTAAGAATGTTAGGCCTTGACAATACCCAACTTCAGTATCATATACAGCATATGCTTTGGTTAGATGAAATAAATTATCTTGACCAATACCGCCAGCTTCTTTAAAGAAATTATGAGCTGGAAATGTTCTATGGATATCACGTTGAATGGTTCCTCCACATTCACAGTCCTATATTATATATAGTGGCAACAACAACAGTAATGTTTAACAAGTTAATAACTATGTGGTTTGAAACTGTATTTATATTATTACCTTAGTAATAAGGACTCTGTATGTATCCATAAGTTTTGGGTCTAAATCAGCTTTGGCTAAACGTAACCATACTTCTCCACGTAGAGCTTCAGGTATACCTTCTTTAACAAGTACAGCTAATTGTCGTGCAGGAGGAGATTTACATGTAGCCCATTTTAATAAAACATCTTTCCATGATTCTAATTCCACTTCATTACATTCTTTGGAAACATCTCCAGTACCACTTACCAAAGGCTCATCATTATCTTTTGAATAGATAAAAAATATAATATATATATATATATATATACATTAATATAAATAGATTAAAATATGTTTTTATTAATTATAAATGAATAGTTAAAAATAAAATTATACAAAAAATCAGTAAATAATAATATTTAAGATTAATACAATTTTTAGTTTTTATAAATTAATTACCTAATTGAATAAAATACTAAAACAAACTATTGTAAAATTACCAGACAAATCTTCATCTTTAGGAGAAGACAGTTCAATTGGGTTTATACTCTGAGTTTTAATGAAATTAGTCAAATTATTTAATGTCATATTAAAACGACTTTTATCCATTTCTCCATAAGATTCAATGTTTAAAAGTTTATAATCAATATCAGAATTTCCAGAATTAATCTAAAAATTAAGATTATAGTTTAAAACTAACCATCTCAATAAATTTAAATTTACATACTTGTTGCAAATTCAAGTAAAACTGATGAGTAACTTGTCTTCGTCCAAACACCCAAAATCTTTCATTAGCAGCGTATACTTTGATAGGAGTTTCTATGGATAATCGAACAGGTTCTTTAATCTTTCGCATAACTAAATCTACTGCTACAGTAATATAGGAACATTGAGTTTCACTGTTTAAGGGTTCAAACACTTTATCTGAAGGATCCCAGTGACCAGTAATCAAATATATAGTATTACATCCGTCAGTATCTGATAGATCAGTTCCCATGGATACCTAATGTTTGGTCAATTATAATTTATAAACAATAATATTCTAGATAAACATGAAATATAACAACTTACCATATCTAAAAGCTGCATATCACTTTGCTTTACATTACGACCAGGGCATACAAGAACTCCAAAACATCGTTCCAAATGTAATATTCTTTGCTGAGTTCCAGAAACTACTTGATTAATAGTTAAACACACTTGTTTTTCAACATTTGCCCGAAGTTTAAGAAAATTTTTATCTCTTGGCACTGATATAAATCCTCCCTATGTATTTATATTTATATCAGCTATTACTCACAAAATTTATCTTTTTCATCAATTATCGTAAGCATTTTACCTTTCCATCATCTTCTTTAATCTCCAAACTCACTTCAAAAATGAAAACCTCGGTTGATCCGTTTTTACTTTGCATATCTAAAGATATATTGGAACTTAACTCTGGTGATGTAGAACTTGAAGTTAATTTTGATTCTTTTTGAAAGGCCTTCACAAAACAATTGGATACACGGTTCACCTGTCACATATAAATATATAAGCTTTATGATAACAAAACAAATTGTTTGAACAACTGTTATACCAGATAAATGAATATTGTATTTATGGCACCTAAACTTCATATAAAATAAAAATATATTGAATGTTATTGTGTAATACGAGTTGTTTTAAAATGAAAAAAATTTGGTTTATAACTATAAAATGTATTAATATGTTGTTCTATAATTTTGAAAGTGGAAGTATTTATCAATTATTATTTTAATCAATTAAAAATAAATATACATTAAAGACTTAGAAACAAGCATTGTCAAATATATACCATCCAAGCCTTCCAGTTTATTTCTTTCAATAAATAAAATCTACACCATGGTATGTTTGAAACCTCTCACTACACAGTGCCGTATTTAGGCATTGGCAAGGTGGGCGGTGGCCAAGGGAGCAGTTTAAAATGATCGAATTAGGGGCGCAATTTTTATACCATTTAAATATTTTAATTCATTATAAATTTATAACATTGGTTGGTTGCCAAGGGCGCACATAAAGCTAGTTACGGCACTGTCACTACACAAAGATTTGAAAATCAAAAGTCTATAAATTAGCTAAAAACTATTACAAAAAATTACTCATCAAATCAGCTAACCAGACAAGCTTATAAGTATCTAACTAAGTCAGTGAATTAATCCCAAATAACACACCCAAATTGACTAAAAACACACTGGTGTCAAGCTCTCTTGAATCCCAACTTGTATTAAGAAATTAAAAAACTTCTCTGATACAAATTTAGAGAGCTCACACACCGGTGAGTCTCTCTCCAAACTTCATATCATGTTGTAATATATCAGTTTAGTTAAACATATTTACTTTTGTTTTAAATAAAAAATAAATAAAGGCTTACAGCTTCTTGAATTGAGCAACGAAAAACGTGACATTGAAATAGTGCATTTTCTTTAGTGTCACCATGTGCCCAACTGAATGCAAAACATGATGCTTCTTTTGTTCCAATAACACCATTAGCATAAAACATTATTCTTTCGATCTCATATCGGGCAATTATTGTATTGCTTGTTCCATCAAATAAACTACACAACAAAATATTTCTATTACTTTAAATAAATATAAAAGTATATGAATTATAAATAAATTTGTATTTTTTTTCAGATTATTAATAATTTTATTTTTAAAAACTACGTACATAACAGCTCCATCTGATGAAATTGGGATGGACACTGATATTTTCATATCTTGATCAGCCACRTGTTCTGCATTTAATATAGCCATAATTCTTAATATTTCAGTTTTTTCTTTAGGACATGTAATACTAGCTGAGCCCAGATACGAAATACCATCAAACATTGTACCTTTTTCAATTTGACCTAAATTATTATTTACATAATACAGGCCTTATTTATAAGCTGAGATCAAAAAGTAGTTTTCAAATAAAATAAATAAATCTAGATTCAAAAATCTCTTATACAATATAAAACATAAATTCCTTATATGATTTCAAATGTATTTACCTAAATCATCAGATACAGACTCTGATATTTTTGTCAATGGTGTTGGTATATCACTTTTAATTTCTTTGTCAGTCATGATTGTTTTTATAGATTGATGTTCATTCTCTTCATCCAATAACTCACCAAGACATTTTTGCATGTGTTCCAAATTACCGTCACCACCAATGTTTAACTCAGGTTTACCGTCACATTTCTAAAAAAAAAACATATACTTACTTGTATTACTGCATCAATTTTCAATAGATAAATCATGAATTTTACATTTAATGTATTTGATGGAATAATTTCATAATCATCACTGGTGCTAACTGACTCACTAGAATCGACACTTGCTCGATCAGCCATCAGTTAACTATCCTATTCATTATTAACTTCAAAATGAGAGCAATCTTTTCAAATAGAATCTACAACATTAAAAGTAGTAAACGTAATGTAAGGAAAAGCTAGTTAGTCATATACAAATATGTATTGTTAAGACGTCAATGGGTACTATAAAATAAACAATACCAAGGAAAGATTAATAAAATTATTGAAATTTAATTACAAAAGATACACATTTTGATTAACATTTACCTATAAGTAGTATAAATATATTTAATTATGTTTCCATTATCAACTATTTATAAATTACAAAAACTATAAGCAAAGTCAATTGAATTTTTCCACAGTACACATTGTAAGCTGATGACGAAGAGAAATAAATAATAAGCRATAACAGTAATATGTCGAGCCAGGTAAGGATAGTTGTATAATATTTATTGTCAGTGATAACGACGGATACTTATCAAAATGAGGTACCTCTAACCCCGTGGCCTGGACTGCCCCTCCGGTCCACCAACGGATATCGACCTGTCAACTGCAACCAGAGTTGAGATTCTGCAACGGATTTTGAATTCATAACATTATCATATTATACTAGAAATTCACGACTWCACGASGTAATTCAAAACGCGAAGACAAACAAAATCAAATATTGCCACCTGTCAATTAATAAGTTAGGCGTTGGAGTGTTTTTCATTATACTTTGTTGATTATAAATAATTGTAATCAATTATTTTTSAACAACTCTCGAGTAGCCAGAGGCGCCAGACTCGAGTAATCATAAACATTGGTACTTCGGTGGGCCAAACTACACTGAAAACCATAATTTGTTTCTGATCATTTTTGTAAGCATAATTTTCATTATTTATAAAATAGCAACAATATTTAATACGCTATAAATAGTTTATTTATTGTGTATAAATGTATTTTCTGTTAGAAATTAAAATTTCGTGGTTTCATACTTTGGGCCCACTCAATTATAATATGTATGTAATATTATGTAGGGTTTATGTTTTATTTTTATTTTATTTTTTATTTAACTTAAATGGATATTATATTTGAATAACGTAAATTTTAGCTTCGAGAAAATATTAACCAAACCTTTAACAATATTCTTCTCTATGATTTTACTTTAAAACAAGGGTGATTTTGTGTGAACTACTAATGTATTTTATGTCTATATATGCGTATCRATCAGAGAAAAATTAAAAAGTGTGATGACATCCTCATATTATGCACTTAGGAAAGCTTATTTTTAATTGGTCAACAGTTTTACAGTATTATTTATCTACAGGCGGCAATTGATACTTGTCACTGATAAGTTTTGATTTTTGAGTAGTCCTCTAAATTATTTTTATTTATTTACCAACGCTTTTAAACTGTGTATCAAGTAAACGATTAATTATAATATTTCCATTAAATAAATCATAATTCAATAAGAATATTAGATATTTAACCTAATGATAATTATATAATATTTAATGTGCTCATTGTACCTAAGTCATAAAATTCAATTAAAACAATTGATTATTGATTACAATAACATTACCTACCTATAAATTAAAGTAAACTATTAGTGAATAGTGATTCTATTTTAGAATCAATTTGTTGAAAATATTTTAAGTGATATTACTTTTATGCTATTTTTAAGATAATTTAAAATAAACTTAATAGACACGCGCGTGATATATTAACTATAATATTGTCTATATTTTTAATAAATTAAATATGCAATTTAGCTTATTATATAATGATTATAATATTGTACATTAAATGAATGCTGATTGTACATTTTTTTGTTAAACAAAAATTGGTTTCAGTTTTTGTTTGTACAATTTTTATTATTTCAATATTATTATTGTTCTTTTACTTGATACTCATCATCAAACATATTATTGACGGTTACTGTTGCCTTGATTAATAAACATTTATTTTATCATGACTTGCTAATTATTAATTTTTTTTGTAATTTAATTTAATGATCTTTTAAAATTTAGAATTAACTATTTCTGAGAGGTATACTTATATCAATAAGTTCAGCGTTACCTACTATAAATGGCCAAACTTAAGATATTATCTATTACTACTGTGTATCTATTTTTTTGGACTATTTTATAATATGCAATATAATAAAACCCAATAAGGTCCTAAAAATGAAATCTGTACTAAAGTAGGTACCAAATTTCACTTAACATTTCCATGTTGATGTCTCATAAATAATACTGATGATACTGCAACAATAGTTTTTTTTCTTAAATTACAAAATATGTGGTATTTAGGATTAGGAACAATATTTTAAATTATTATTATCACCTTATGATGTTTAAAATATATTTATAGAGTAATACAATACTTCTTAGTTCTCATAAATATTTTCTAAAAAATATGAGTACAAAAATAAAAAAATAATTATTTTGAATTAAGTAATATAATAAAAAAAAGATGTAGATGTGTAGTTACTAGTTAAAGGTTGAAGTGAAAGGTATGATATTTGTACCTTGAAATGATTTTTAACCATCTAGTAACATTTATAAAAAATAATAAACAATTTAAGTTCATAGTATATAAGACACATCAATGATACTTATAAATTTCAATCTCATATAAAAAGAGTAAAGAATAGTACTGACTTAAAATTTAAGCTTATATTATCATTTATTTATTTATTGTTATATTACCTTTTTATTACTATCTAATACCTTTGTATATTATTAAATAGTAAATACCTTTATATTCTCCCAATGGCCGAGGGTTATCTTTAATAAAAAAAAAAAAAAGAGTAAGTTAAAATTGATTTAACAATTGCTTATAAAATACATCAGGTAAATTTGTAATACATTTTATTGGATGTGTATGCATGCTTCAAAAGATTAATTCAACATCATTATCAATGTTATAAAAATAGTAAAATATTGCTTGTATTTTCAGATTCAAAATTATTATATTTAATACCATGAGTGCTAAAACAAAACAAAAAAAAATGGCGGACTATGTCACAACAACTACAGATAACTCAAAGAAAAGAGCACGAAACAATGATGGAGATGATTCAGAGTCTAAAAAACCCAAGTCAGGACAAGTTGATTTGAACAAAATAAATTTTGTTTGTGAGAAAAAAAGTGCTAAAGGTCTTACTTGGAATCTAAAAATTATTTCATGGAATGTTGCTGGTCTTAGAGCATGGCTTAAGGTAATAAAATATAACTAAAATCAAGATTTTTTTTTTTTATTATTATATTCACACAATTTAGGTATATTTGTATTGATATTCATGTATTATATTTCAGAAAGACGTTATAGAATATCTTAAAAAAGAAGATCCCGATATTATTTGTTTACAAGAAATTAAATGTACCGAAAAACAAATGCCAGATGAAGCAAAATTACCGGGATATAAAATTTATATTAATTCAGGTTTGAATTTAAAATATGTGCTGTAAAGTATTTGATAGCTTAGGTTTATATATATAATATATAAAGCACCTTTATTGTATCTACTAAAAAAAATTAATTTTAAATAATTAATACCTTGATAATTTTTTTATCAACTTAAGTTTTAAGATAATCTACAATAAAATCAAACTACTAAAGTATATAATTATCTTATGTGTAGGTGACAAAGCTGGTTACTCGGGAGTTGCTTTGTATTCTAAAAAAGAACCTATTAGTGTGAGAATGGGAAAAGAAATAAAACAATTAGACGATAATGAAGGTCGTGTGATAGAAGCAGAATATGAAAAATTTTTCCTGGTTTCTACTTGTAATACTTCAAACTTACAAACTTATCAATTATTTTAGTAGTTACTAATTTTTTAATGTCTTAGATATTCCAAATGCTGGTGCAGGATTAAAAACATTGCCAAAAAGAATGAAATGGGATGAGGAATTTCGTCAATATTTAAAAGAGTTGGATACCAAAAAACCAGTTGTTTTGACTGGTGATTTAAATGTTGCTCATGAAGAAATTGGTACCTATTATTTTATTAATTGTTGTTTCAATATTTATTTGAACTACTAACTAAGTACTTGATATCATTGAAAAATATAATTTTAGATATTGCAAACCCGAAGACTAATACAAAAAGTGCAGGTTTTACAAAAGAAGAAAGAGACAATATGACATTGCTTCTCGAACAAGGATTTATCGATACATTTAGAACATTAAACCCTGAAAAAACTGGAGCCTATACTTTTTGGACTTATTTCCATAACGCAAGAGCTAAAAATGTTGGATGGTAAGTAATAAAATTGATAAGATTTTTATAAATATGGTCGTTTTAAAAAAAAATTAAACTGTGTTATGATTGGTTTTGACAATTAAGTAGTTAAATATGGCAGTTAACTGGTAACTAAATAAAGTACTTATACTTTTTGATATATAAAAACTTCAAAAATGTATGTTCTATTTCTTTTTTATTATTTTGTATAATAAATTGATATTGAATACCAGTTGGAGATACTGTTTGACTATTTTATTAAAATTAATTTAGCTGTAATAACCTATACTGACCATATTATATGTATTTAAAAAATTTACAAAATGTAATAATTTTTGTTTTTTTTTAGGAGACTGGATTATTTTATATCATCAAAAAGATTCATGGATAATGTATGTGATAGTATTATAAGAAATGAAGTACTAGGTAGTGATMATTGTCCAATTGTGTTTTACATTAATATTTGATTATAATTTTTTTTTTTAAATTATAAGACTTATCAAATATACACTGTGCAAATTACTTCTGTAAACATACTACTTTATTTAAAATCAATCATTGTATGAGTATGTAACTAAAGTAAAACTAATTTAATAAATTAAGAATCTGAATCTCATTGCTGTAGACAAAATTTTAACCTAAAATTACTTTACTTATGTTCATTATTACCTTCTAAAAGTTGTCTCTAAATACACAGTACAACACTTGCTTTAAAAAACATAAGGTGATTCTACTTGTAAATATTCCGGGTACCAATTTTGACAACAGTTCTATGATAGTACTATGAGATCACGGTAAGTAATGGCAGTATGGCACCATACACTCGGAAGCCTGATTTTATTTTTTCTTATTGTATTTAAAACACAAGGTAGACAAAATATTTTTTTTGTAAAATTATGTAATATTGTGAAATTAGAACTTATAAGTGTTTTACCTGACTCATTATTGTTTTATTATTTTTACTTCTATGTGTTTGTTGAATAAGAACTATTTATCAAATACCTACTATTTACTAACATTTATATTTATCATTCAGTCAATCAGGGCACATTTGATTATTAAATATATATTATATATCTTAGAGTCCAGTAAATTAGGTACTTCATAGTATAGTGTTTGATTACATCAATTAATAAACAATTTATTTATTTTTTGCATGTTTCTGGAGTAATTAATTTTTTTTTTATAATAAATGATTTATACAATTAAAAACTAACAGATAATGAGTAGGTACATAATATATTATTGTAAAATTAAAATTAAAAATATTATAATTTTTCTATTTATCAGGCATATAATTATTTTTAAGATGATGTCAGTGGTTATATCTTATATCATTGATCATAAATACTACTAAGTAATAATCATTTATTATAGAATAAAAAAGTTATGGGATTGAAAAATGGCAGAGCTAATTTTTAGATCATATTTCGTATTTTCTATGAATAATAGAAAAAAATCTTATTCAATATGTGAACACAATAATTGTATATATTATTTAACGTTTGAGGCTCAAATTAATGTTCGCTTGAACTTTTTTCTTCTCCATTAAAAATTGACTCAAAACTCTCAAACAGGTTAGGTTAGGACTAGGTTAGGTTAGGCTAATTCTTCTATAAGCTAAAACTATAATATTAGTTAAATCACACAGTATTGAAATCAATAAACGGAAATAATATATCCTTATAGATGGACATAGGCGTGCACATTAAAAAGGGCTGAACCAATAAATTATCAATGATTCTTTTACTATTTTGCTAATGACTACTAGAATAATAAAATATTTTATTGTAACTCTTATTAAGTAGTTAATAATTTAATTCCATATGCAGATGATCTTGTAAAGTAGTATAGATATCAGATATCTATGCGTTTATTTAATAAAAAGCTAAAGGCCACATGATGAGCCCGACCCATCGGGCTGCTTTTAGAATCAGACAAGGCCCCTGCCACAGAGAAAAATTCCCACCCGCCCTAAATGTCGCCACTGTTGAGAGATATTTGGTCCAGTGTATTTACATCAAACTATAGGTAGGTATCATACTATTGATAAAGTAATTCATTATAGAGGTCAAAAGTAAACATTTTCCAACAGTTTTCAAAAAAATCGAGAAAAAACAAAAACGAGAATTTTTACGTAACACCAGTTTTGACTTTTTTTGAGTTATTTATAGACCACTGAAATTTTCAATTTTTTTTTTTGAAGTGTCGGTAAAAAAAATGTTGGATGACCAAAAAAACTTGACAAATTAATACAAGGTTCCTTATGAGTTGTTCTTATTGTAGCTAAAAAAAATTAAAAATCGTTTGTCATAATTTTTTATAAGAGTTTATAGGTATTTCAAATTTTTACGAAATCTGTCGAAAACGCGAATATTTGCAAGTTATTTTGAAGTTAAAAAATCACAAAATTTTTTTTAAATTTGATTAAAAATACAACACTAAGTTTTCCTTCAAGTAGCTATAGAGAAAACTCAAAGCATCATTATAGCCTATAGGAACAATTTTAAGTGCGTTTGAATTTTAAATTTTTACGAAATAGTATAACGATAACGATTTTAAATATTTGTTATTATTTAAAAAGTATGAGTTGTAGATACTTGAACATTTTACCAGTTATTAAGATTGGCATTTTCTTTATATAATTTAATTTTCAAAATATTTTGACTTTTTTTGAGATATTTATAGACAAGTGAAATTTTCAATTTTTCTGAAAATTTTTTTTTGAAATGTCGATAAAATTTTTTTGGCACTATCAAAATACTTGAAAATTTAATACAAAGTTTCTCATAGGTTATCCTTATGGTGATTAAAAAATTATAAGAATACATTGGCACAATTTTTTTTTATTAGCATTTGAAGTTCAAATGTTGACAAAAATTCGTCAAAACCATGCATTTTTTTTTGTGTCTGTCATCACGTTTTGGGGCAGTAAAAGTGCTTCGATTTTTTACTTCAGTACCTTATTCGATCAGAAAGTGAATATAGTTGGTACTTTGGGGGTCAAAAGTTTCTAAATAATCGAGAAAAACAAACTAAAAATTAAGGGGAAAACGGGAAATTTTACGCACACTCATTTTTCGACAAAATCGACTTTGATTTTTGATGTAACTTTAAAACAAATAACCAATGATACATGAAATATTCACCAAATGTTAATATAAGTTAATTCTATCCACCATGCAATTTTCAAAAAATTTCGACTTAAGTTAAACTATTTATAGGCATGTGTAATTTTCGATCATTATTAGTTTTTTTTAAAATTAATATCGATAACAATTTATTTTTTGGGTAGAAAATCTTGAAAATTTAATACAAGGCTTTTAACATATT